TAATCGCGAGAGACGCTTGATGAAACTGGCGACGAGGTTGGCAGGCAAATGGGAGGAGGACATAAATGTGTCTAGTAGGCGGAAGAAACGCGACCGGTGTTTGGAGTGGAGGAGGCCTTCGTCGAGGAGGGAGTACAGCTTGAGGTAGAATGACGGGTAGTCGAGGTTCTTCTCTGAGATTAGGTAGTAGATTCCGGACAGTGCCAGCAATGAGGTTGCGCCGCCCACGTTGTAAGAGTCTGTTAAGAAGTCGGACAAGATTTCAGGCTGCTGGAACCATGGCGCAATCTGGTGAGAGAAGTTGTGCAGGATAGACTTGCGCTGCTCCTTGGAGAGACCTGTGCGCATCGTTGCTAACCATGCTGCCTGTGCCTTCTCCTTGTATGCTTGGAGGGACGGTATCGGGCTCTTCCCTTGCACTTGTACGTAGAAGTTCTGGATGTCGGTCTTTGATTTGGGGACTTCGGTGAGTGTGAATAGGAGGGAAAGGCTGTTCGCGGCTACGAGTTGGCGCGTCGTGATGTCGAGTTCGCTGTCAAGTACATCCCTGGATGTGTTAATAGGAGCTATGAGGCTTAGCATGTGTATATACTTACTTGATGGTCTGGAAGGTCTGGTATCGGATATCGTCGAACTGCTTGAGGTACTTCTCCGCAAATTCCTCGCGGTTCAGATCGTCTATCGGGAGACATAGCAGCACCCGAATCAGTCTCGGCAGCGGCCCGTTCTTGATCTTGTAGTCCTTCTGTGACTTTGCCTCCTCCTTGACCAATCGCAGAACCAGTGTCAGGGCCACAGACTGCTTCGGGGGGTGCTCGCTGCCGAGGAAGTCGTCGATGAGAACGTCCGACAGTTCTCGGTAGCGCTCTTTCAGCCACGAGACAATGACACCCTCTGCCTCGCTCATGCCCTTGCTCTTCACCATGTCGCCTGTCACGAGTAGTCGTGAAAAGACTCGGCAGAGGGCCACGGCGGCAAGGATTGGTCCCTCATTCTCGGCGTCTGGCTGTCTCGCTCGCTGCAAAAGAGTTGCAATGTTGTTGTAGTGTTTTCGCGATTCGAGGATCTGTGCTTCGAGCTGTACAATTTCCGACTGGATGTCCTCGCCGTCGTCGCTGGGGGATTTGCGCCGGCTCTTCGATTTGGATTCGCCGCGCTCTGGCTTGCTTGGGTCCCTCTTCCTCTTGACACCAGACGTGCTGGCCGACTTTGCACCCGACATGTTTTCCGGCGGCTGATTTTTTGGCGTGGAGTTGAATTGCTTGCGGGCGCAAAAAAGTTGGCGATGTCGAAAAGTGAGGGCGGGCCGGGCGAAGTTCGGCTAGCGCAAGGGCATCGGCGCTTGGCTCAGAGTTCACGCAGCATCACGAAAAGCTAGCTCTCGACGACGACCAGCACCCCCAACTCCCCACGCCCATCAGACAGCCATGGCCTCACGTCTTGCAAGGAGCGCGGTCGGTGAGTAGCACCTGCCCGATGATTCTGCGATGCCATTGACCCCGTGCTCACCCCAACAGGCGCCGCCCGTCTCCGCCCATCGCTCCCTCTCCGCGCCCTGCCCTCCATCGCCGTCCAGGCCCGCTACAACTCCAACCTGCCCCAGGAGGACCCCAAGAAGAAGGCCCAGACCGTCCTCGACTCGATACCCGTCCCCGGCAACAGCCCCCTCACCAAGGCCGCCGTCCTCTCCGCCGGCGCCGGTCTCAGTGTCGCCGCTATCAGCAACGAGCTCTACGTCGTCAACGAGGAGTCCATTGTCGCCCTCTCGCTCCTGACCATCTTCTGGGCCGTTGCCAAGTACGCCGGACCTGCCTGGGGAGAGTATGCGCAACAGCAGGCCGACAAGATCTCCGGCATCTTGAACGCGGCCCGCCAGGACCACACCACCGCTGTCAAGCAGCGCATCGAGAGCGTCCAGGACCTCGGCGGTGTCATTGACATCACCAAGACCCTCTTCGAGGTTTCAAAGGTGCGACGCGACGGCAGAGGACATGCGAGGACCACACACTGACACCCCCACAGGAGACCGCCCAGCTCGAGGCCCAGGCTTTCGAGCTTGAGCAGAAGACCGCCATCGCCGCCGAGGCCAAGTCCGTCCTCGACTCGTGGGTCCGCTACGAGGGCCAGGTCAAGCAGAGGCAGCAGAAGGAGCTCGCCGAGTCCATCATCGCCAAGATTGAGAAGGAGCTCGAGAACCCCAAGACCCTCAAGCAGATCCTTGACCAGAGCGTCACTGACATTGAGAGTATGTGGCATTGCATTTCAAATGTGCGGCATGAGCTAACAAGCAACAGGGATCGTCCAGAAGGCATAAGCGTCCTATAGCATCCACCAGTCAAGTCAATCAATGTTATATAAATCTGTGCAATAGTCAGGCTCGTTCAATATAGAGTACCTCAGGCTTGGGAAAAGGCCGGAATATTTCGTTCTGTCTCCTGAATACAAGTCTCTTTTCTGCCGTATCTTTCTGTTCGGTCTCAGACAAGGGGGACATTGGCAATCTGGAAACCCCCACTAGCATCGTCACTCGGCACCACCATCAGTCCACTAACGATACACAAAGCCCTGCGTTGAGCCCACTTTCGCATCTGCGTACAGACTCATGTAAGCGTCGACGCCGTCTATACAATCAATTTTTGCGCTCTCTTGGCCCGCTGTATTTTCACCCTTGGGGAAGCGGTGATGGTCTTTTTCGCGGTCCTCCACTTCTCCTTTACATCTGCATAGCGATCTTCGCCTTGCCAATCTCCCACAACACTGTCTCTCGTACCAATGCGCGCATCAAAATGCCCCAAGCCGGGTGCCAGCTCAAGCACCTCTCGGTATTGCCCCGGATCCCAATACGGCTTTCCGGATGGTAAGGGGTCCATGGGAAAGTAATCGTAACCACCCATGTCAGATATGGTCAAGCTCCTCAAACTTCCATGAAGACTCTGCAACATGAAGCGTAGATATCTCATTAGGGTCTCGTTGTCTTCGTACGCGAAGTCAAGGGTGTGGAGAGATTTGATCGAAGCTAGAAATCTTGTCATGATAGACATAGCGTCAACGCCGGCGTTAAGCCAGTCTCCACCGCTGTATGGGCGATATTGTCTCCTGCTCCTGAAGCCCGTCGTACTGATGTGAAATCTGAGGTATTTGATATTGATGGCGCGGTTGGTCAGGGACGCGATGAAATGAGGCGACGTGCCGTTGGGGAGATCTAAGCGTTCTAGGCGTTCCCAGGACGTTGTGCGCGCCCACAGGTTACAGTTTTGCTCTGTCAACGCAAAATCGCCCTGCCGCAAGGCCAACTCTAAGAGCGCAGCAAACTGATCGCCAGGCTTAAAGTCAAAATGAAACATGCCGTATTTTATGTATTCCCAATTTTCGAACTGCGCACGCTGGACAGAGCCATCGACGTCGATAGTAGAGAGACGCAGAACTTGGAGACTAGCTGGTACAGTGTTTTTGATATATGCAAGTTCACTCAGAGAGTGTCCGGTCTGCTCGGGTATGGTCGCGTAAATCTCCGCATCAAGAGTGTAAAGTTGCGGAGATGAAAGCAGACGGTGGTCTAGAGGATGGAACCTGCGATTCTTCAAAATCCAGTGCAAATGTGTCGAGGGATGCAATTCGTAGAACAAGCTGAGCAGGGCTGGCGGAAGCTCGCAGTTCACACACCAGGTAAGGTCTTGTAAATTACTGACGCTCCTCAGGATGGTCTCCAACAAGGGCAAAATGTCGAGCTTGAACTTTTCTTCGTCCTTGAAAGAACCTATCTTTAGATACCTGACATATTCTCCAGTCCTTTCCGTTCTATCCCTGAGCCTCTCTAGCATCGGCGATGACAGACTTGGCCCAAGGAGAGTGCGATCATGGATTGTAAAGTTGCGGAAGAACAAGTACTGAGATTCGTTGCGACATGCTTTTGAGACGAGACGAAAGTTGGAGAAGGCTTCCCGATCAGTGTCGTAAACCTGACAGGTGTGGTCAGAAGAGGGAAACGATGTGAAGCATTTGTTCGGGTACGCACGTCTTCTATAACAATGAGAAGTATCGCCAGCGGCATGCGGAGTAGGTGACAGATAGGCTTTGCAGCCATCTTGCCTGGTGGTCGCTTCGTGCGGCGGAGAGGGGACATTGTGGTGGAGAGGGAGCAAGGAGGGAAGACAGAATGCCGCCTGCCTTTCTTCCATGTTGGTCATGGATATATGAAGCTATCAAACCAACAGGGCGCAGCAGCGTATTCATCCGTCCCTATCCTCAAAATAGGCAGTACTGATTCTTTCTGAGCACGTAAAGGTCAGGCTGCATCTTGAGAGGCTGAGCGAGCTACATGCCGCGTTTGCCTTCCACCCGCAGCTCATCTGTATGTGCTTGCGTTCTCAACCTGCAGAGGGACATGGGTCGCATATCTGATAGAACTGCAGCAAGTCTTGCTTGTATGCTGCTAAAGATTATAGACAACCTACTTGCTTGGATGTCGTTGTAGTGATGTCGCAGGGCAGGAAGGTTCGGGCGCAGCCCCCCGGGGCCGCTTCCAACATCACACGGATGATGATTGGGCGGCCACTGACACCCCAGCCGACTCTCCATTCTGCTGCGCTTCCTGCCACTTCAACCCTTGTTCATTACTGCTACCCATCAGACAGGGCCAGTGTTTCCGCCTATCTGTTTCCGGCTGTATTACTATAACTGTTTCACTATACGATAGTGATATATGTGACAGGAGTAGCGCGTACTCCGACAATGAAAGTAGCGTGAGTGACCGAACGAATCTGTCCCCAGGCAGCCAGATGTCGAGCAATTCCCCTGCAAGTACTCAAAGTGACTGGCCGTTCAAAGAACGGGTCTCTACTCTGATAATCTGCCCAATTATAAGATAAGCGATCTCGAAGGAACCACAGTTCTACACTACCACTGTAACCGTTGCCCAGTCTCCATCACCGGCTCTATACGACCCGACAAACCGGCCACTGTCCTTCCAATCATACGTCTAACCGTCAGATCTAGTAGCCATGCCAAATTGTCTCGGCGCCTGGAAAGCGTTGGATCGTCAGCGCAAGCTGGCTCAAATTATGGTGAATCCTCGACACTCTGCCACTTATTATCGAGGCCCTTCGCCAGCAGTTACTTACCAGAAGAATGGACTGGTGCAGATGGATCCCACTCCAGAGCATTTGCTGTCCAAGTAAGTACTATCTCCAAGGCTACGTCAGACGCTAATGTACTAGGACCCAACACAACGCGTCGACGAATCTCCTCTTGCTGCCTGCGGAGATTCGTAACATGATCTTCAAAGAAGTTCTAGGCGGCTTCCAGATATCATTGAACGTCCCCGGACTCGATATTTGGCAGAATAGTGGTGATGACTACAAGCCTGGAGAACTCCGAAAGCTCGCGTTTGTGCTGCCATACGTATGCCGCCAGATCTATACAGAGACCGCTCTATTACCTTACGCACTCAACACGTTCGCCGTGAGCTGCCGTTCCCACCGCGATGCCTTTGCAGGAAACCGCAACCAAGCCCAGCTAGAAGCCATACAAACTATCCAAGTTAATAACCCCTTCCTTTTTGATTCGGTCAACGGGACGGGGTTTGGAGGCTGCTCACGGTACGCACGAGGATGTAGTTGCCCGTTCGAGTGGAAATCCTACCGTTCTCGTTCCCCACCACCGTTAGCTATGCCGTTCACGCTCGTATTCCCGAACTTGCGGCGAATTTGGATTGAAGTTGACGTCACTGAAACTGGTTCTGACGTCCATTTCGTCAAGCTGTTGGCGCAACATGCTGGCTTCGATGATTGGAAGGATTATGTGACGATGCGGGAGCGTGGTGTCCTTGAGGTCGTCGAGGTTGTTGACCCTGTCGAGATCGATGACCAATAGCTCCTGATTCGGTTTCGGCGGAGCGCGTCTATGAAGATGCTTTCAATTGTATTGGCCCGAGGTTGAGGCTGTCGTCATCGGTTGGGTGTTTGTAAGAGCGTCCAAATTCAGGAAGCTTTGGTGTGGTGGGATGGCTCACACTAGAGTCAAAGATTATATTGAACTTGTTTTGACAGAGTATCTAGTGCTCATGCAAAATCAAACTATCCATCTAAAGTGCCACATGGCAATAGTCGTCAAGCTCGTATAGTCTGCCAAACAAAACGATGCATTCACTGACATTGTGTCTTACCGATGTCGAGAATGCACGAAGAGAGAATCACTACGAGAAGTTCTTACTCTTATAGTGATCTGATAACCGATAGCACAGTGAAAGAGATTTTTATCCCAGATGCGTATGGCTCTCGACTGTCTGCTCTGGTCGTGGTCTGACCAGTCGCGTGTTTATCGCAACGAACCCTTCCACCTTCTCAGACTCTCAACTAACGCCATCATGAATGCCCTACCGAATCCAGGGAATACTCCCGAATATCTGCGCCCTCGGTAGGGAATAGAGCGATCAATGTAGCAAGATTTAACTAACCAAACACAGCACGCAATCCAACGCGCTTACACGTCTTCTCGCACTGCCTGCAGAGATTCGAGAAATTATCTACCAGTTTGCCCTCATTAGCAACAAGGAGGTCACCGTCTACAAGGGACGCGTCAAGTTCGACCGCGGACTAGCCCCCCATGCCCTCGCTTTACTGAGGACTTGTCGACAAATCTACATTGAATCGCGTCTGGTATTCTACTCCGGAAACAATTTTAAGTTTCCCTACGACACCTTCCTCGACCGCTACTGGGCCGGGAAGTGCGCGCTCTCGCGCGAACAGTTGGAGAGGATCCAGAGCGTTGTTCTCTACAAGTCATGGATTTACTTCTGGAACGGAAGACAGTGGGAATTTCCCTGGACGGCGTGTATGAGGACTTTTCCAAACTTGAAGAAGATTGCGTTGCAGGGGGTTACTTTGACGTTCATGTTAGAGCGTGATGCTGTGGTGGGAGGGAGCACCACCTGGGTGGAGTACCTCGGGATCCAGAAGGGTATCAAGCTTGAGGTCATCACCGAAGATCATTCATAGGCTGGGTAGCTGGCGAACTAATCAGTCATCAATATCCAGGATAAGGGATGCGATAAGTTTTTCTGTGATGGAGATAGATTAGTGGGATCGATAGCATGTAGTCAGCGGGTAGGATTCCGGCGATGTTTTACATTGCTGGTCTAGCCCAGGCAACGCACCTGCTCTCAGCATTTCGTAACTCACAGAAGCCATAGCACAAGCCAACAGTCAATGAGCACAATGAGTCATCTTACAACAAGTCGCGGTGTATAAGAACAAATGCTAGATTGAGGGGTATGTAACACCAAGACTCGCATGCTCCGACAGCAGCAGCAAAGATCAACACCATACAGTACCGTGCGCAAACCAGATACATGCCCCAAACATACAGGAAGAAGATTGACACACACATACACAAGGGAAAAGCGACTGCCAGATACAAATGCCCGCAAGACATGAGAAGACCATAAGGGGTGAAATTGTCGAATCGGGTCAAAGGGAGCCCAGAGCTCCAGGTAATGCATGCTTTCGCTGCTATGCTATGCTGAACTGAACAATCGGTCGTCGTTTTTGGAAGATGTAAAGGTGGTGGTTTTGGTGGTTGGGTATACGGGAAAGGGGGTTCGTCGTGAGGAAGGTCGTGACAAGAAGGAGGGTATCGATGGAAATGAAGTGGGCGAGTCGAGCGGCCAAAGCTATGGCCACCAGTTCATCCTCTTGTAGCTCTCAATGACCTCTTCGACCTTTTCTTTGGTGATCTTCTCTACGTTGTATCTGGTGGGTTGTTAGTATATCGCCGGCTTAATCTTCCATGTGAATAGTGGTGTGACTTACTTGAAGCCCGTCTCCTTCTCGAACAGACTCCCGTCCATGCTCAGATCCGCATCTTTCAGCAGCTCCTTCTCCATGTACGGTGTCAGCGGTGTCGATTGGCTGATGCCGGCTTTTTGTTGCAGTTCTGCCCAGGGGTCTAGCGTCTCGTCGTTGACTTCGTCGACGACATGGTCGAGATTCAATCGTGCAAAGGCTGAGATGAGTGTGCCGTGGAAGCCAGTTTCGATGTTGAAGATCTTACCCATGAGCTGGGCAGTGTCTTTTTGTGCTGAAAGTCATGTCAGTACTGCAATAGATCGGATATAGTCTGGAGAGGCTTACAGTGATTCGCATGATCGACAATATTGAACGTAGGCGCCGGCCTGCGTCCCGCGGGCCCCTTCATGTACCACTCGACACCATGCCACAGCGCCCTTGTAGAGTCTTCAATGTGCACCAGGTTCGTCTTCAGGTCTTCTTTCCACAGGAAGCGCATCTCCTTTCCTTTGCTCTGGTATACCCTCGCCATGCAAAGCGCCGTGCTCAGGTATTTGCTCGTGTACGGCCCGTAGACGTGTGCCATCCTCATCACTATCAGGTTCAAGCCTTCGATCTTGGCCAGGTCCTCCTCAGCCTTGAGTTTCCATTTCGCGAGATTCGACCAGGGTTTCGGCTTGTCTGACTCTTTGCTGGGTGCGCTGTCGGGCTTGTAGACCATGCCGGTGCTGACTTCGAGGAAGCATTTGACCTTGCGTTTCGCGGCTTCGCGGCCAATGGCCATGGACAGGCCGTAGGAGCGGAGCTCGTAGACCTTCTCATCTTGGGCGAAGCGGGTCTCGCCGCCGCAGTTGAAGACATAGTCGAATTCGGCGCCGCCTTCACGGTCGAATATTCGCGGGAGGGATTCTGTAGGGTTCGAATTAGCCTCGAACGTCTTGTTGTAGACATCCCTTGGACCCAGAGACATGGTCAGGGGTACGCACTCTCCTGCGCCGCATCCGCCTGTATGAATCGCTCTCTTGAGCACGCCTCCTTGAATTCAGGTGCAAGCCATGCCAGCTCCGGGAGATGTTTGTCGACGATGCGAATCTGCGAGGCGAGGTTGTTGTCGTGGATGTACTTGGTGAGGTGTCGCCCGGTGTAGCCTAATGCACATGGTCAGCCCTCGTGGCATGCTTGGGTTGTGCCCAGCGCGAGCCTTACCCAACCCTCCTATTATCAGCACCGAAGGCTTTTCTGAAGCCATTTCTGGGGTCGCGTATGTTCGTGATCTGCGTCTCCTGTGCGCGCAAGAAGAGATCGCTAGGGGATTCTGAAGGGCGCAGTGGGCGGATGGTGTCTGCTAAGGCCAAAGTCGGGGGTGGAGATTTGAGCGGTGCGGATCGCGCTCAGACCGTCTTTGCGAGGAACCAACTGGCGAGGGACAATATCACGGCTGCTATAGGCGAAGCGTCTTGCTGCGATCGTCTGTCTTGCTCACGTTGGAAGAAAGATAACACGCGGCGTTCGTGATCGCGGGCGTCGAGCTGGAACGAGAGGGACTAACCACGAAGAGAGATACTCCAAGTAGGATACCGCGGCACCACAACGATGTCATATAACTCAGGCCCAATATGCGCGACTCATTGACCTGCAGGAGGGGGGCAGTCAGGCCGATATTTAAATGTGCACACCCAAGCCCGGCGATAATTCTCTTCGCAAGAGGCCACCCCCATCACTGAGGCTCAAAAACCAACTATGGCCGCCAGTAGCAGTCATGGTCGGGCACTTGTGGCTGATCCAATGCACACCATAGTGGTCCGCTCCGCAAGCAAGTCGACCGAGATTATGTGGGCTTCGTATGTAGCGAGCCCGCGACAATTGTATTGAAGGCGCCCGCCGCCACCCGCCACGTTATGCAACTTGGGCACGAGCACACAATGCGATCCGCTCCACCGTATCCCCTCATATTCACAGCATGACGTTTGCTGTTCCTATCTCCTGGATACATAGCGGTTGTCGCGGGAGATGTACAAGAAGCGGGCGGTGAACGACGGCGCGCTCCCGCAAAGCTGGACCTTGTCTCGAGCTTCAATACTTTGGGCGCATGACAGCCCGACAGTGGGGGTGAACTCCCCCTGAGTTCACACCAACAGAGCTATCAGGCAATCCCTGGCTGACGTAGCCATCCATCCTTGGGCGTTCTCCGACGTTGTGTACAATGTGTAAGCCACATTCGCCATCCTTCAACGAGCGATTACCGAATAAAAAGCAAACAAACGCGGAGCCGCGAGGTCTGTCGCTAAATCGCCTTCCCCTTTACAGACACGATGCTGGGGTTGTCCTTCTAGCTTAACGTCTAGCCTGCATAAAACCCTCGCTTCGTAACAAGTTCAGATGACTTCTACTAGGCTAGGCAACGTGACAAGAAATTCGGCTCGTAGCATTGCCGATATGTATTCAATATCATGGTCATTGAGTCAAGTAAGACCTCGTAGCGGCCGAGTTAGACAGCACGAATGCCGTCAGATGTTGCTGTGATTCCGCGGAATGGGGACTACTCATCAGCCCAACGCCCTCGTCGGCGACTTAACATTCATTGTCAAGCCAAGGGACGGCGCCTCCAACATACACAGTTCGTACCGGCGTTGTGTCATGCAGCTCCGGGCTCCGAGGCCTGTCGGCGCCGGGTAGCGTAGCACACGGCGTGCGAATCTAGAGATCTCTTCGATCTGTACCTCCTATCAATAAATGTAACGCAGGTACCCAGGCCGTATCATTGGCTGCGACGCACTTTCTTACACCGCTCTATGCCACCCATCGTGATTGTGCGACCCGGCCGACATGCAGTTTGCGTCCAGAGCAGGCTGTGTGACGATGCAGTTCAAGACAGACAGGCATGCATGCACAACCTCGGAGTCGAACAGCAGTTCATGCATAGAACGTCACTAAGGATGGTGATCGTCCCGCACTTGCATATGCATCAGTAATCCTTTTCAGCTGAGTCTCTATTTGATATATTGCTGTAGATGACTGGCTAGATCGCAGAGCTACTATGAATATCTTAAAGCTATGCAGTGGACTCCCTGCAGTAAAATGAGATCGCAACGTCATATCGCATGCTCGCCGAACCGTACCACCCATGCCCTTTCATACGGAAATAGTACTAAATGCCATCGTGCTTTTCTTCGCCGCATGTCGCCCAGTCAGTCTCACCCTATGATGCTGTGTGCACCCGATGCAAATCTAAGAAGATGTCCGAAGACAAGGAAACCCCGCCTTGTATGCATGCTTTGCTTTAAAACTCCCAGGTCTCGTCGACTGACTTGATGGCCCAGTCGAACTTCTCGCGGAGTGTCTTGGAGAAGAACTTCTCGATGGGTACGTCGAACTTCTTGGAGAAGACTACAGTGAGACGAGGGTCGATGTAGTTCTAGTTGCGGTTAGTCAGAGATCATGCAAGATGAACAGGGAGTGACTTACGATCTTGGACGTGCCAAGGGCAACCTCCTTGTTGCCCTCCTTGTCCTCCATCTGGATCTTCATGTTCTCAATGCGCTGGTTGAGCTTGTCGATGTTACCCTCAAGCTTGTCGACTGTTGGACCCTTGCCCTCAGCCTCGACCTTGCCAGTCTTGTTTTCCTTCTTGTACTTGGCGGCCAGCTCATTTACCTTCTCCATACGCTCCTCGAGCTCCTTAGGCTTCATCTCCTTCTCGCCGTCGGCCTTGAGCTTCTCGTTCTCCTTCTCGAACTTCTTGGTGATCTTTTGTCGCATCTCTTCGATCTCTGCCTCCTGGTGCTGTTTGACCCACTCCATGTCGAGATCTTCGGGTCGCTCAAAGTACTCAGCACCCTTCTTCTTCTTGATCTTCGGATCCACGTCGATCATCATCATCTTGGTCCTCCAGACCTGATAACGAAGACCATTAATCTTACAGAAGTTAGCATAGTAAAACAGCGGAATGTGCGACGAAAACATACCCTCTCGTTCATCTTCTCGATGGAGGTTGCGTGACTCGCAGCGACAGTACGCTTGTGGTTACACAGGATGGCAACTTCACGATTGGCATCGTTGTAAGCCTTCACCTTCTCCTGGACTGTGCCAGTAGCCTTCATCTCCTTGAGCAGCCGAGCCATTGTGTACGAGGCGTTGTAGGTACGGAATACTTTTGCGGTGAGACCAGGCATGTAGCTTGTCAGATGCTTGTTGAGACCCGACGTGGTCAG